TCCCACTGTGAAATTATCACGGTGAATGTGTAGAATAGAATCAATATTATTCACCAGTTCAAAAGATGGTTAATCTTCGTGCATTGACTTGTTAATGTTAAAAAGATGACTTGAAGAATTCCTGTTTATCATCGATCAATAATGAACTTATTAAGTGTTTACAAGATCATATGGCATTGGAACGTGGCATTCACAAAGATAATGACGTACTTCCATTTAGATGAATATGGATTTATAGATTATCAAGAAATATTTAACATTCTGAGATATCACATGTAGGATGAGTAGTAGTAAGCTATCGATATTTATCGAACGAGTTGACTCCTTTCTATGATGTTTCTCCCATTGTGGGCTGTGGGTATGGGTGAAACGAAGACACACCCACACCCATACCCGCAATTCTTATATATTTAGGTTCGTAACTTAATGCAAACCGGGTCCGGATAGATCCGCAGCTCTCTAGTCGTGAATTTTCGGAATGTTTATGATGTAGTTGCGTAGTCGATTCCTTGTTGATCAGTATTGCGTGTAGAGGGACCAGCAGTAGTTGTTGCCGTTATTTTTTTTAATATCAGTCGTAAGTTCTCGTACGGCACTTATTAAGTAATTCTACTGTTGCTGACTTTCCTCGAGTTTTGCCAATCTTGAGTTTGGATTTGTATAGTTTTGATGCGTTCCACCATATTATTCTTGAGTGTGTTTATTTCTGTTGAGAGTTGATTTGTAGTATTTTGACTATTTTCGATTGTCTCATTCCGTATTGCATTCAATTGCTGCTCGAATGTAATAATACGCGTGTTATTATTGATACTTGCTTCTGAAAGCCTTTGAACGGCTTGTTTGACAGTAACTTTTTCTGTGGTCATCGTAAATTGAATAGGTTGATGGAACCCAACTTATTGTAACAGATAATGCAGAATTTTTTAGCCAGGGTCGCCAGTTGTAACGAAATATACTTGTTGTATAACTTCTTGAGTTACTATTTTGGTTTATTTCAACATAAATCGTTTATTATATGAGTACTATTGGTTGTGTCCTACTATTTCACACACTAATACAACAATGCTTGTCTATTCTTTTCCTCTCCTCTACTTATATTTGTCCAAGCAAAGTGTAGAGAGAAAAGGAAGAAAAAATGGAAAGAGAAGACATCAATAAATAATTGAGAGAGTGAGTATATGACCGTTGTTATTAATCACGTATGCTTGCACAAACGGACGACGACTGACCGCTCTTATGTCGTTATTCTCTAGACTAACAATGAAGACATGATGTGCCTTAATTATTGGCACACTACCTTCACCTGTCACGTTAGTACCCTTGGCAGTACTCTTTTCTCTTCATTTGTATGACTTTTTTTCCCTTTCTGTAACACAGATTTCTCGTGCTTCTCTCTTCCTTCAGTTGTTGATTGATGTGCAAAGGCAGTGCTAGCTGGTTTCCTCTCCTTGTGGTGTGATTGACAGCTTTTCACTTTAAGCACGGTCCGTATCCGTTTTCGATTATTTCATAACCGTAACTCGCGTTTTTATGACATGTGCATCTACATATGAGCATTCTCACCATGATCCGAGAAATATTTGCTCCTTCTAAACATTGTTGGCATCACTTATTTTGTTCCTGGAACGAACCATCTTAGCCTGTTTCTTTTCAGGATTGTGAGTAAATGTGGCTGTTCTTTGAATTCCAACATTTTCTTATTCTTTTCCGATATTTAATCTTCAAGAGTGGCACCAATGATCGTTTCAAATCATGTCATGTAGCGGGCATTCTATTGATCGTCGTTCTTCAGTTACAATTAAAGTCCAAACTCCGCTTTTATGCAACAACGTCGGCATCATGTATGGGCAAAAAAGGTCGTCGTTTCGACTTGTAGGAGATGGTTTTATGATACCACATAGTATATCTCAGGATGTTGAATGTTTCAAATCTTTCAATAATTATATCCTCTCACCTTTTTTCGTTACTAGTCGTACAACAACAGAGATAAACGAGAGATTCCATTCCTTCAGTGTCCTTCTTCCGAACCAAAATAGTAATATCGTATTCGTTGAACATGTGGCCCGTAGTGATATAAACAGCTGAATCTTGTTGTAGTTGTTTTCAGAATCAGATGCATGCAGTTTTGGACATTCCTTGTTAACCCAAATTGCTGAGTCATTACGAATGCTCGAATGAATTTTCTGGAATTCAATAGTTGTTTCGCACATAACAGCAATCTCATCTGCACGAACAAAATCTATGACGATCATCGGTTTGTAGTAATTTCGATTCGAATGAGACAAACCTCGAATACATACATTAATTTTACTTCATTTACCTACACTTCGTCGAACACTTTCCGTCTGACGAAGCCGAATTTAATGTTGAACAAAATATTAGATTTAATCCCTCTTTGTTTGACACCTGTCTTTATCTCCAAACTGTCTGATTTTGCTCCTTTAATTTGTACTGAAGCTCTCGTGTTTTGATGCAATAACTATAACATTTTCACAGCTTTTTGTCAGTCCCTGATATTTATTATAGTTACACGATTTTTATATCACCACTTACAATGAGACCATCTGAGTGACGGTTCATCTGTTCCATTAAAATCCTGTCTTTTGCTAAAAAATTTACTTGTCTGGTAATGGTTGGATCCATTTCACAATGGTGTGGAAGAATATCTTGATAGTACTGTGAACATCCAATCGTGCATCCTTCCTTCTTTCATCCATACATCGGTTCTTGTGTCATGCAATCATTTCCTAGTTGCCATTACTCCAGCTTTGAGAATTTCTAATGTTATATCACCCCTGCTGCCTGCGTTACAATTTCAATCTGCTTGATATATCAGCAACCTCCTTTACTGACGGCACCGATGTTGTCTATCTCTCTGTTGCGCGTATATCCACAGTAATAGACATATGAAATAACTCTTGAAAGTATTCGCAAGCGTACCATATGTTTCTTTCCATCTCACAGTCGCTTTCTATCGCGTACACAGTTGTTGAATCTGACGCTAGAGCGCATCTTCAATTTGTCGAATTACCTTGTTCTGATGTACGCTCTAATCAGTTTTGATTTTTCATTTCAATAAGATTCTCAATCGCTATTGATTCGGATGTTAATTCTCTAAAGACCTACTCATGTAGTTGTGCTATTGCAGAGACAATCTTGCTTTCCAATTGATAGGAATTCAAATTTCATCCATCGCAGCCATTTACTGTGCCATTGATCGTCCTATTCTTGTCTGAATTATTTGTCATTACGTTCGTAAACATATTCAACTTATAATTTAACATCTGCCATTGCTTTTTGCTAGAACTCATTCAAAGATAATGATGTAGAAGTTTGTGCTGATAAAAAGTGCCCATAATAATGAGATCATTCAACGAGCAAAGATAACAAGCTGATGTCCATTTTTATTGTAATTATCTACCGTGTGTTGTTATCAGATGGCCTATGTGTTGCCCTATTTTGTTAGATGCTGACTCTCATGTTGCAGTTGCCATTAATCAAAACTATCTGACTCTTTGGTATCTTGTTTATAGATTGATGCTAATCCATACAGAAGACATCTGACATTTCAATTTAATCTTTTCCTTCATTTGATGAGTTTATTGGAGTCTTTGGCATGTGTTTATTCAAACACGCTACAACGTCATTCGTCTCACACGTCTAGGTATAATCAGCGACACCAAAATGAATGACTATGTGGTCACTAACTTTCGATACTCCAAAACCGAACATCTCTATATCGCTCAGAGCAGCAATTTGTATGCAATATTTTCTCAGTCAATCATTGATTCGTTTCTTCTTTGCACTCTGAAAACATGATCACATTTTCCAATAAGCAATCAGAATTGACTTTACGCGTATGAAATCATTTTTCGTGCTCTTTTCTGATGATTCACAGTTCTGTAGGTAGACTCCTTTGATCATTCTGAATGACTTGAGCAAGCCGAATAAACTAATGTGCCATATCTTATACCGATGTACATGCGAAACATTTTGGTGTAGCAGTAATACCATTCATTCTTGTTGTAGTAGATCGTATTGTGATCATCCATGATGCTCACAATACATTTCCACAAAGTAATTTGGATTGCAACAATATCGAAGCGAAACGTGCAAAACAGAGGTAGATTAGTTGGCAGCAGACAAAACTCTAACGCTTTAAAATCAAATATCGTAGATTAAATTGTACACGTCAAGCATTTGAATGCATTAAACTCGATACGTAGAAATGATTAATATATTAAATTGTTGAGCTCATCAGATCAGAGTAAGTGTAAGTTTGAATTGGATTGAATACGATCTGCTGTGCAGAGTTTTCTGAATTTTCAAATATTTTTTAAAAGCAGAGCTTCCTCATCCTCTAAGTATTTTAACCGCAGTCGCACCCATCCTACCTGACTAACTTTTAGATATAAACACGAACGAAAGCGTCGATCTGCCGTCGACAGATTGGACATGATCGAAGCGAATGGCCACATGGAACACAAGTCGCCAAATGACCACATGGTATGCAAGCGAGACGTTTTTCTTCGCTCAAGCATATAGCACAAGGATTCGTGACAGTTGAATTATTGGTTTGCATTTGCTCAGTAGTGATGATCACTGGACTTGAATTCCTTTCTTTGGCATCCGGCTCAGTTCTCACTGCAGGTACCTTTAGGTTTGATTCAGTCGTGGATGATAGAGATGACACGGTCATTTCGACATCTGAAGAGTTTAATGGACGGGTCGTAGGCAGTGCTGGAGGAGCGTCTACACAAATATTGGAACATAAGAGTTTTAGATTGACATCTCATTTTCTCGTCTACTACCTGCTTGGGTTCTCTCACGGATTTGTCGCATTCGAATACTGGGGACAATGATCTTGTCTTTATTGCCATTGATATATTCGATTTGTTTCTGTAGAATAATGCATGCCACTAGGAGATCACAATCCGTCTGAAAATCGTCTTCTAAAAGATAAGAGAAGTACACATGAAGACATTTTTATTAAAAACAATTCAATCCATACGTTTCAATCGAAGTTGATCTTCCCAGCAACGTTTGATGATCGATAGTTTGAAATCTCGATCGAGTAAACTTTGGGAAATTGGCAAATCCAAGCGGGCAGCGACAAGACGTGATAATGTGTTTTCATCCGGTATCAGCAATTTTTGACTGCTCGATGAGACATTTCTCGCCGGATCGGCTGCCCTGACACGTTCTAAAGAAATACAAAACATCCAAGAATCGATCGCTTTATTGATTTTTACAAACAAAACATTGTTTGACAAACCTTGTGCAATTCGTTTGGATTCTTGAATTTTCCGATACATATCATCTCCACACAGTTGCTTAGCATATAAACAATGTGGAAACCAGCGGGCATGTTCAATCATTGGGTTATCATTTGCACCCCAATTCTGAAGTGATCCGTTACAATAAAAGCATGTAACGACGGTCCGAGTACCCGTATAGAAAAAACCAGCGCGAACGAGATCATCTACAGAAGGTAGAGCCTCATTAGGCCAAGTAGCAAATGATGCATGACGCTTGGGAATCTCTATATAAGCAACATTACAAGCGGCAGTCAGAACAATTCCATTGGAACGAAATGCATTGATCGTCATCCCTGTGACTGACTGATTGCTAGCTGAACTTTCGTTTACAATTAATATCGAAGCAGTCATAGGGCGTATCAGCATGCCCAACACGAATGGACATTGAGGAGAAAGAATTTTATGTACTTCACACGGATCATCTGTATGTGGTGTCCATTGTTGAATTATGAGATTACAATATAAACAGATGACTCGATCTCCGACATTGCAGCTGAAAAATCCACTTTCGATCATTTGTGTTCGAGACGGTGACGCAGAATGAGGCCAATGGGAAAACGTTCGAAAACGAACTTCTTTGAGTATTTTCACTTCTATAAATTGGTACGAATAACTTGTGTCATTCCAAACATCAGTTTTTTGACGTTTCGAAGGTTGTTCTCTTTCAGTTGATTCCATCGTAGCACGACCTGGAGTCGTGCAAGATATAGAAGTCGAAAGAGAAGCATTGGCTACAATGGATGATTTCATTGAACAAACAAATGAACAATTTTGACTACGCTGAGAGTGAATTGTAAAAGGATCCATGTTCTCTTTCCAATTGGTCACTTCTAACTGGCACTTGTCACAACAAGCTGCATCTCCTATACCAGTATATCGAAATCCAGCAGCTTTCATAGCATTAACAGAATGAATACCTCGCTTTTTCGTGAGTTCGAGACATGTCTCCAGAACTTGTCTGTATGCACTACTGTTGTTTCTCGTCGAACTATCAATTTTAAGTTTGACTGTTATTGGTGTTCGCGCCGCGTTAGGTAAAATTGGACTCGTTGTTGCTGAAGAGTCATTCCCCAGTTTTTTCGGCACGATAGAGTATGGTGGTAAAGAACCACTAGTATTAGCCATAATCCGTGAAAACTGACTATTTGATTATGAGCCTAGATTGAGCATGGCCAGCCTAAAGCCTTTTTCGAATGGATTTATTTCCATCTACAACAAATTCAAATACAATAATTTCTTATTGAGATTTACTGCATCTCGATTAAGAAATGCATTACAAATGCAACTCCACAACAATTGTAGAAAGACAGATCGTAACGCCTTTTGCGCGACGAAGACCTTTATCATAGTTGCTCTCATCGTTTTTTTCTACTTGTACTATTCAGACATTCGTATCTAGGGATGCACCGGTTCCGGTTTTAGAACCGAAACCGATGGAACCGATTGCAACCGGAATCGGAACCGATAAGAACCGAAACCGATCAGAATCGGTTGAAATCTATAAGAATCGATGCTGAAACCGATAAGAATCGGTTGAAAACCACGCTGAGACCGATAAGCACTGATTGAATCTCATGCTGGAGCCGACTAGAATCTGTTAGAGCCAAAGTTAGAACTGATCAGAATCGGTGGCAATCGGTTGAAACCAATAAGAATCGATTGAAACTGATCAGAATCGGTTGAAATAGAAACCAGAATCGACCGAAATCAATCGAAATTATACACAGAGAAATTGGAAGGCTAAAAAGCACACTGATTATCAATTGAAGGACAATGGTTGAATTTCCTCACTCTATACCAAGGGCCACAAGTTTTGGGTGGGTGTGGGTGTCGGTGCTGGTGTGGATGGGTGTCGGTGTGGATGTGGGTGTGGGTGTGGGTGTGGGTGTAGATGTGGGTGTGGGTGTGAGTGTGGGTGTGGGTGTGGGTGTGTATGTGGATGTGGATGTGGGTGTGGGTGTGGGTGTGTGTGTGGATGTAGGTGTGGGTGTGGGTGTGGGTGTAGGTGTGGGTGTGGGTGTGGGTGTGGGCGTGGGTGAGCGTGTGGGTGTGGGTGTGGGGGGTGTGGGTGTGGGTGTGGGTGGGTGTGGGTGTGGGTGTGGGTGTGGGTGTGGGTGGAGGTGGGTGGGTGTGGGTGTCAGGAAGACGAATAGAAGAAAAACACCCACACCCACACACCCGCACCCACACCGACATCCACCCCACCTATACCCACCCACCCCACCCACATCCATGGTTTTCAACGGGTCCTTATCGGTTTTAGCATCGATTCTTATAGATTTCAACCGAATCGGATCGATTTTGCTTTCGGTTCTCATCGGTTGCAACCGAGTCTGATCGATTTCGGTTTCGATTCTTATCGGTTCTTACCGGTTCCGATTCTTATCGGTTCCGGTTCTGGTTCCAATCGGCTCTTATCGGTTCCGGTCCCGGTTCCATTGGTTTCGGTTCTTTGGAACCGATAAAAACTGAAACCGTGCATCCCTATTCGCATCTTAATATCTGAACAACCTTCTGTACTTACGATGTTCAGTGTAACCTTATCTATGCCAAGAAAATGCGTTTCACATTATCAGGCATCGATAGAGATCTTTGGGAAAGAAATTCGCTTATCAACGCACTTACTTTAAGAATGGATTTATGTCTGCCATAAAATTACCAGAAAAGGAAAATGGCTATAACTATCGAGTTTCTCATCCTGTAAGTCAAAGATGAACGTCGAAGTTGTCGCTGGTGAATATGAAAATGGAGACAATTGTATATAATAAGATGATGAAATGAAAAGTTGTTAACGATTTTACAAAAACTCCACCATGTTATTTTTTTGTGCGATTCACTGTGCGTCTGTCTTTTCGTTTCGAACGAATTGAAGCCAATAAAAAGCATACGTTAAATTTGAATTTTATTCCTACGTTTGAAACATATTCTTTCTATTTCTTCTTTATATATATTCACCACATGTTGTTTGCTTATGGGTTTTAATCCTTTGGCAGGGCTTCTTATCTTAAAAACAATTTCAATCCCGCAATCGAAATTGGAAAAAAGCCGACTTCATTCCCCTGTTGATGCCCAGAGTTGCTCGAAGAAGTAGAATGAAAGAAACAATACATAATTATTGACACGGAAGGGTGTGGGTGTGGGTGTGGGG